TAATAATAAAATAGACGTTCTCTGACCAAAAATATATATTTATTACAAGCTTTCGGCTACCAATCTGTAGCCTTCAACGGGTATGAGTGTATGAAATATGAAACTATAGTCTATTATTGTATATACAGAAAGATTTGCATAATTGCGCATGAAATATGAGTGTGTATTGTCAACTATGACTGCTTTTTTATAAGAACAGTATATTGTCCGGGAAGTGAACATGAATTGTTGTCAGCATCAGTTGTTAAGGCTGTATGCCATGACTCTAGAGTTTTTCGGGTCCTAAAATTTCCCTTATCGATAACTTCCGCGTTTTCAAAGTCAATCCTGTGGTCGTAAGTCCATGCATGTTTTGCTACATTAGATCCAGTCTTGTGATTCTTTACATTTCTTACGTGTTCCGATTTTCTTGTCTTCAGCGACCTTCCGGTTTCTCCTATATAACTCCATGGACAACTTTGACACGGTATACGATAAACCACGTTTGTCTGATTTTCGGATGAAGGTCGGTGTTTTGCGGATGGAAATTCTTGCTGGAGGGTTTTCATTGGCTTGTTGCAAACTTTTACGTCGTGCTTTTGTAGTAGCCTTGTAAGAGGTTCCGTGAGGCCTTTGATGTAGGGCAAAACTGCGTATCCGGTGGGTTGTGTTTTTCCTTCAACCGATTCAAAAAACGTTCTGACTAATTCTTCAGGAGATGGAGTTGCTGCATTTCTTTGTTGTCGAGTGATTCTCGTAACCAAGTTTTTGGGATAGCCATTGAGTGTGAGAGCTTCACAAACGTGATTTAATTCCTGGGTTTTGCATGATGTGTTGCTTGGTAAATGTAAAGACCTATAAATTAAAGTTTTGGCTGCACTAATCTTATGTTTTTCGTCATGGTGTGATGAAAAATCTAAGTAGCGGTCAGTATGTGTAGGTTTACGGTAAACCGTGGTTGAAATTGAGCCGTTGTTGCGAGAAACTAAGGTGTCAAGAAATGCAAGTTGTCCGTCTTTTTCGTGCTCAATTGTAAAGTTAATGTGAGAGTCAATAGAATTGAGAGTGTCGTGAAAACTATTAATAGTAGATTTTTTCATGATAGCAAAACTATCGTCAACGAATCTTTTCCAAACCCTAGGTGGTGTTGTTGCCTGTTGGATGGCTTGTTCTTCTATTACTTCCATACATAGGTTAGCAACAATTGCACTAACTGGACTACCCATAGCACATCCGTGTATTTGTTTGTACGTAGTGTCGTTGTAAATGAAAAAACTGTTAGATAAAACAAATTCTAAAAGTCGAATTATGTCATTAATGTCTAGTTTTGTTCTGCGCGTTAGTGTATGGTCGTTAACTAACTTCGTCTTAATGTATGCGCAAGCTTTAAAAGTTTGCAACAAGCCAATGAAAACCCTCCAGCAAGAATTTCCATCCGCAAAACACCGACCTTCATCCGAAAATCAGACGAACGTGGTTTATCGTATACCGTGTCAAAGTTGTCCATGGAGTTATATAGGAGAAACCGGAAGGTCGCTGAAGACAAGAAAATCGGAACACGTAAGAAATGTAAAGAATCACAAGACTGGATCTAATGTAGCAAAACATGCATGGACTTACGACCACAGGATTGACTTTGAAAACGCGGAAGTTATCGATAAGGGAAATTTTAGGACCCGAAAAACTCTAGAGTCATGGCATACAGCCTTAACAACTGATGCTGACAACAATTCATGTTCACTTCCCGGACAATATACTGTTCTTATAAAAAAGCAGTCATAGTTGACAATACACACTCATATTTCATGCGCAATTATGCAAATCTTTCTGTATATACAATAATAGACTATAGTTTCATATTTCATACACTCATACCCGTTGAAGGCTACAGATTGGTAGCCGAAAGCTTGTAATAAATATATATTTTTGGTCAGAGAACGTCTATTTTATTATTATGTTTCATCCTGGCCGCGCATCTGCCTCTATTTTTTCAAGAATTGAAACATTTGAAATGTCTATATTAATAAACGAACAAGACTTGAAAGAATCTGTTCAGGGCTGCATTCATAGATAGATTTCCTGAATTAAAAGTTTAATTAATGGAGCATCAATACCGCGTCTTGTCCAATTTGATTCACCGTAAAGATGTATTCTGTATTCTGCCTACCGGTTATGGGAAGAGTTTAATATTCCAAAGTTCTAGCACCGAGAATAGCACAACGACTTGGCAAAAGCCACAATTTCCCGGAGAAACCATTTGCAAATTGAACTTTTTCATTGACTCTCACGTCCATGAACTAAGAAAGCGTGGATTCCGTGTTACTTCACTGTCAAACGAAGAGGACGAGAAAGCAATACTAGATGGTGAGTGCCAAGAGTTTACATTCCTATTACTTGTAATCCTGATCCAGCCATGTTGAACGTTCAAAGTAGGCTACGTTGAAAGTAGTGTAAAGAAACGCTAAATATTAATGTTTTAAGTCGTGAAAAGTTAAGTTTGGTTTATTAAGTTTATCGAAGTGACAGTGGTTTGGACAAATGTAAGTGTGAAGAAGTGTATTCTGTAACCTAAAATATTGCACTAATGTAATGATGTAAACATAATCGTAATTTTCTTTGTTTTCTTTCTTTATTTTATATAGCTTCAGATTATATATTTTATGCAGATTTGTTTATATAATTAAAAAATAAATAACCAAACCGTTCTTATTGTTGTCCAGTATACATGCGATATTTTTAGATAAAACCCTGTCTAGACGGTCTGGCGTCAAGGATAATGATTGGATAATATTTTTAGACTAGTATACTTATCAGTAGTATAAATGCTGACTTGCTCCTTAATTTGACGATATATAAAAAACGGCCTCATCTTTCCAAATTAACAACGCACCCCAGTTTAAATACAATCTCGTAAGCTCCTAACCCATCGTAACTGACAGTAAGCTCAACACTAACTTAATCGTTGTGACGTCATTATTGTAAATATGAATAAATCCTTGTTTCGAACACAAATATATATCTTTGATCTTGACCGTAATCACAACCCATCCCTAACCCTAGCTTTATTGTGCGCGAAACATGAGAATCTAACCATAAACTTTTTTTAATCTTTCTATCCTACCGCGTTACTCTAATATCTGTGACATCAGAACGACAATAGTATGGGAACTTGCACTCATTTTTGGAACCTTTTCCCTATAGACCACAATATCAGCCAATAATTATTTTAAGAGCACGCAGATTATTCAATGCTTTTAATTACACAACAACGATATACTGTATCACTATTAAAGACCACACATTACTTCAAACTATCACAAGACCACAACTAAACTGTACAGTGAGTGCTGACTGTCCGGTATGTACTATTTAAAACGCGAGCAGGAGTGCTTTATCAGATATAAAACACGTGAGCGCAGCTCGAATGTTTTATCTGATAAAGCACGGACTTTTAAATAGCTAGTAAACATAAAAGCCCGGTTCCCATATACCTACTTACACCTGCAGTATGTCGACGGGCTATTGACAACAACTGCTCTGAAAAGCTGTGAACAATGATAGCGCAGGTATACCGCAGGAATATATGTGAACCAGGCTAAAGAAAGAGTAAAATAAAGTGCTTAGCTGATATTTTACTTCGCTTGAATAGACTTCTTCGCCAAATTGCCTTTCTTTTGATTTTACTGAAGTGAAGTCGATCGTTTAAGAACTGAATA